TCTGACAGTCCCAACATGATTACTGCAACACCAACTTACCGCTGACATCACTTAGGTGCAGTTTGTGTGTTGCAGTAGGTTTGGTCAAATGTTTTAAATAAATTCCATGTTTTTACCCAAAAAACGAAACAGTTTGTCGTTTAAGCTGAGTATCACAAAAACTGTTCATGTCAGCCACACTAGTATAAAAGGTTTGATGACACATTTCTGACGCCATTCTGATATTTACAGTAATAAGTAATACCAGTTTTTGTTGCCATGCAAATGATCTCATCACAGCCCTCGACTATGAAAATGTAGCGCAGCGAGAGTAGTGAGCGGGTAGCAACGGACATTTCAAAGCATTTTTCTGCACTCGACGCTGACCTAATCCCACTCTGTGCTCCGCTTAATCCCTCTGCCCTCCCTCTCTGTGGTGCAATTGGTTAATCCCTGCATCTGCACGCCCTGATTGGTTAACCTCTCTTGGACGGTGCAGTGCACTTGTAATCTCCCCCCTCAGCACAGAGTGTTTCAGACAGACATTTGCGCTGTAATCCCACAGAGGAGCAGATGTGATGGGGGATGGACGGCACTGAGCAGACCTTGAGGAAGGTGAATACGGGAAAGCTAAAACACCACAGACCGTCTGCGAAGGAAAGCTTCAGGCTCTGAAGAAGAAAGAAACCTAATCAAGAAGTTCAAGTGTTATTACAAGTAAATGTTACAGGTTAAAAACATAACAGAAACTAAATGTTAAATATCTAGAGCCTAGAGGTCAGCCGATGTACCTTCATTTCCAGTTGGTGTGCGGACTAAACTGGGCTTCACTCAGTTGTTTTAATAGAGTGGAGAAAATACAACACAGCTAAAAAGATGATGATGATTATTAATATCATTATTATTTTACATCCGAAGTTTTTTAACTTCAAAACAGAGGTCAGATTTAAAAACATCTCCATGATTTTATCAGTCTGCTTGGTGTGTTTGGGCCATGAACCAAGCTGACTGTGGGCAGAGGTGATATAAGAAACTCTACTCATAACCAACACATCAGATTTGTTTTCAGGGAAGTTTATAAAATGTTGGCATCACTCAAGAATTTGAGATAATCGATGTTGCTTTTGGATAGCAGTGAGGACTCTAATGGTGTCATTTCCAGAGCATTGGTGGGGAACGCTATCAAAGATCTGGCTGAGTAGCAGCATGTCACTGAAAATAAAAGCGAACCGAGCCCCGAGGAACGCCACAAAAACCATAAACAACACGGACGCAAGTGTCATCTCTGTCTGCAGAAAAGGCAGCCATTAGCTTATCCGGGGATGTTTTAATTCAAACCCAAGTTTCGAGATGATCCAGAGAGTGTATTGCTCAACGTTTGGGACAGAGTTGCTCAGTTTTAGTGCTTTTAGATGTGCTTTCTCTGTTAAAGCATAATATTAATACTCATAAAATACATTAAGTAAAATGAAACTGAAATCTCCACCTTAGATAAAGATGTTCACTTACAAATTTTTCTAGAACTTTTCAGTAACTGAGGATAGTTTTTCTGTATCTATAGATTAGTTTAATTTACTATCATTTACTATATTCTACTATAATAGATTAATTTACTATAATAAACAAATCATTTTATGTTCAGTATTTTTTTATATTATCATATTCTGAGAAGAAACTTAGTAGAATAAAAATATAATGAAATATGAAGTAGATGAGAATATTTTATTCCAAATACACCAGATATGGGAGGGAAGGAAATAGTAATACAGTAGAAACGTGTCGGGAAGCGTGGATTGCATTCCCTCTGTGTACATGTCGATTTTCTCCAGTGGAGATTCAAAGAATGAATGTTCACAGCTTCATGCTGACAGAGGGACCAGGTGTCCTACTTTATGTGGAGCTGCACAGCATTGTCATGTTTTATTGTAAAGTCTGTCTTTTGTGAAATAAAGAAAGGACTCACGCTAACGTTAGAAGCTTTGCAGGTTTCTGTGGAACAAACTAGCACAAACAAACAAAATGCAACAGTTAAAAATATTAAAGTAGGTGACACCAGTGGGAGGTAATTCTCAAAGTTTTTGTTTGTATTTTGCCTATTATTTATTTATAATACACATGAATCTCTTATGCTCATCTATACAAGCATTCCCATTGAAACTGAGGAGCAGACAATAAGCAGCTTAAAGAGTTCATTTTTTAATCGAGTAAACTTCAGATTCCTTCTATGCTTGCAGTGGGAAAAAACTGTACTCCATTGAAATAGTTCACAGTCACATTCAGACCTTAACATGCTAAACGTCAAACTGTGACCTGCATAGTTTTGTATGTCCAATAATAACATTTCTTTCACACCTCTCACCTGTATTCATTTGCCACACGTGGTGCTTTCCCCCACGTATCTCTCCAGGATTTGTTCGCCTTACTTGACTCATGAGTGATTTCAGTGTTGAAAATACTTTTATTTTATGTAAATACATCATTTTTTACTACACAAAATTCAGTTACTAAATATTTTGCCTGTGAAAACAACCCTGTCCCCATTAGAAGCTCTGTACGATGTTCTGGCAGCATTTTTCCTACTTTTTCTTTGAACATGTGTCACTTATGTTTATGGACTCTTATATTGACGCGTTTGCTGGCCGTTAAATCCTTATTTAAGGTCTCCCCCATGTGGAAGTTCGGCTTCTCTGCACTGATAAACAGCACAGCTTTCTGTTCAGATTGAACTGCAGCGTACGTAACGCAAACATGACACACAAACTCATCCATGTGTTTTAACATCTATTTATTACCACCATAATATGAGAAATTTGGAAAATACAAAGATCAGCTTATTTATACGTCTGAAAATCTCAAGGAATAAGAAAAATATAAAAGAAAAAAGTATGAGGTTATACTGTGCATCCAGAATTTTGATAAGGGACAGATTATATGCTCAGGTGTAGAGAAGCTGCAGGAGACACACAGACCCTAAACATGCAGAGGTTCACTATGTCAATTCATACTGGTGTGACAAGTATAATGCTAATCTGTGGTGACAGAGAGAGACGGAGGCTGACTGTGACGACTAATCTACAGTGAACAGAAGAGGAGACAGTGAGACCCCGCCCCCTTGTGGCTGCCATTAGAATTGAAGTTTCCTTGGAAAATGGAGAAGCCCTTCCTGATTTTCTATAACAAATCACTGCAAACAAAAAGACCCTAACTGATAATGTTGATACTATTAATTGCTTTTTACTTCTATTTTGATAACTGTATAAGTGGTAAAGGAGGAGATGCTCCTCTATGAATTAGATGTGTAAAAAAAAAAAAATAGACACCATATCCACAACAATAATATTCTTAAGAAACCAAGAGATTTTTGTTTGAGCACAGCTGGTTTGGAAGATCAGTTTTCACAGGAGCACACAAACAAACAAGAGCAGGTTGCACAGGTGACGGAGGTGCACTGAAAAGCTACAGCTGCAGAGCAACAGGAGAGTCGGGGTGAAGGAGGACGCACGGAGCAGGAGGATGTTCAGAGGGGGCGGAGGCCTCGGGACTAGTTTTAATAGCACCCTGCTGTGGAAGTTGCAGCTCCCCTTAAGCAGACTAACCCCTCGGCCTTGTCCCTCTGCTTTAGCTCCGTTTGCCACAAAAACTGCACCTGCTCAACTCCAGGTGAGCTTACTGATGGGCTTCCAGATTTGAAGTAGCTCCCAAACCCATGGATGCATGTTTGCCTATGTGTGCACATGTGCATCTGATCTGCCAACCCTTTACATGCACGAAGAAGGTACCCTAAAACATTTGGTGAAGACAAAAAAAATTACAAATTGATCAGACGTCAACATATTTCTATCTCTTCATAATCAAGATTACTCTAAAGTCTACCGAGAAGCTGGGTAGGCTGGGGAGAGAATGGAATAGGGACGGGTGGAAGTGGGTGGATGGAGTAAAATGAACGAGTAAAGGCAGGGATGGGTAAAGAAAAACAGGACAGAGATGAAACATCAGGGAGGCCATCTAAGCGCGCTCTCCACGGATGCGGCGTGCCAGCTGGATGTCTTTGGGCATAATAGTGACACGCTTGGCATGGATGGCACACAGGTTAGTGTCCTCAAACAGACCCACCAGGTACGCCTCACTAGCCTCCTGCAGGGGACAAACACAAACAACATTAGCAGTACATATTAATGTTTTAATATAAGAGAAAAGAACCTAAACTTTGATCTGCTGCATTGGTTTAAGTGTAGTCCTTAAATATCGACAGCTGAAAGCACGAAATTCTCTAACAGCCCCTTAAAAGTCGCAACAAAGGACAAGACAGACTTGCATATAATATGCTGATACCCTTCAGAGTTCACATTACAAGTTAAACTCATGGACCGAACATTTAGAAACCTCTCCACAGAGACACATTGATGAATCAAAAATGAGTGCCGCTAATCGTACTAAGTGCTAAAAAACAGTTTGGGGAAAAAAAAAAACCCTAATCAAACAAATTTAGAAGAATAAGGCAAGTGATGTCAAAGCTTCTACTAGCAAAAAACCACACTGTTAACAGCATGGACCTCCTTCCCACATCCAACATAGCAGTGTGGCTTCACCTGCAGAGCTCCGATGGCAGCGCTCTGGAAACGTAGGTCAGTCTTGAAGTCCTGAGCGATCTCCCTCACCAGGCGCTGGAAGGGCAGCTTACGGATCAGAAGCTCAGTGGACTTCTGGTATCGACGGATCTCTCTCAGAGCCACCGTACCAGGCCTGAAACGCATGACCTCAAGCTCAGTACAATCATTTATTTATTTATTTTTACACCTGTCAGTAATGTTGACAGTTAAGGCGGAGTCTCCCTAATTAAAATACTTTTTGTGGCTCCGTGCAGAATTTGCAGGGTAAGGATTGCTAATTAAACTTCTGATATGATAAGGAGCAATTAATGTAACTCAAAATGAATGTTACCTGTAACGATGGGGCTTTTTGACACCACCTGTGGAAGGGGCGCTCTTGCGGGCAGCCTTGGTGGCCAGCTGCTTACGAGGAGCCTTTCCTCCAGTGGACTTACGAGCAGTCTGCTTGGTACGAGCCATTACGACAGAGTATCACCTGACGGAATACAAAAAACCCAAACAATGTATATGTTTCTATTCACTTCATCATGACATTAATCGTTGCACACTGGACAAATGATCCTGCTAAGCTAGTGGCCTTGAACTCAGATAAATAACTAAATTATTTAAAGTTTCCAATATTCAGTGCAGCAGCTCTGAAATATATATAAGTAATTAAAACATACAACTCCCCCCCTTTTACCAGTTCGTTTTATTTGTTATCAAGTAATTATGCATTTTGAGTTTTTAATATTTTTGTATCAATTATTAACGGATTTATAATTAAACATGTTATAAATACTTGGTTCTTAAGTCATTTTGGACCTCCTGATAAAACTTTTCCCCCGGGTTTGGCCGCGGCACAAACACAAAGAATTTAGCCAATCTAGAGACTGTGGGATCCCAATTTAGCCAATCACAACCTTCAACAGCCCGTCACTCTGAATCCCACCAATCAGCTGTGGCTCCACTGTACACCCAAACCAATGATGTTTCAGCCAGGAGTATTTTAGGGCGGGACAAGTATTGTTAACTCCGCCTCATACCGCAAGATTATGGCCGCAGACCGAAACGAACCTACCAATACACAGGCAACGAGCGGGATGTAAACTTTGACATTTTCCCACCAAAACAGAAAATGTGTGCTCACAAGAGCATTAACAAATCGTAGTAGACAAGTGAGCGAATCGAAAAACAGTCAAAGACGGATGAAGTAGAGGTATTTTAAAGCGAAAAAGCGAGGTAGAAATCGCCGCTGAAAGTGGACTACATATTTCGGCAGTGGAAGTACTGAGCCGTTTTTCTCTGCCTGGGGAAGCTGCTTTCTCTTTTCACAACACCATCGAAAAAACACGATATTAAAGCAAAAAAATAAGTTTATCTACTCTATTTTCTTCACCAAATGGTGACTATTGTTCTTAGTTAAGAAATAATTAAGGAATTTTTTACTTACCGGGGGTGAATTTTGTCTCTTTTCTTCGCAAGGATAGAAGTGTGTTCTGGTTGTCTGGCAGTGTCAGATATTTACTATCTCTCACACAATGGAAGCAGAGCGAGCGGGAGCAAAATGGCGCCCGTGTCAATCATCTGTCTCCCACAATGCAATGGTAACATTTGTAAACAATCTAACTTCATTTCCTCAAGTTTTCTCCTTCAAACTCCAACGATGTAGAAAACACTAGATCAAGAAAATCATAAAATAATTACGTTTTTGACTTTTTTTTTTTAACGCTTTGCCTCAAAATCGCGTGTTAAGAAATGTAAAACGCAAAACCAATGAGAGAATATGATAAATATCAGGGAATAAGGCACACTTTCACTTCGAACAGTAGAGAAAGGAGAAGGAAATGTATAACACTTTTTAGAACAAACCAAATATTTGTTATTCGCAACATAAATTAGTCCAGATTAATTAAAAAATACATTCAAGTCTAAAGGAAAATATTTCTCTTTATCGTGCTAAAAATATAATGTAAGTGCGCTAACCGAAATGAAAAAATATTACTTGTCTGTTTTAGTAATTATGGATCTCCGTTATAAATTCAAACTAGAAACTGAATTTAGATGACAAACATGACAGCTGTCCTACTGTAATTGTCTTTTTTACACAAGGTTTCTGATCAGTATATGAAACAGGAGGGAAAACTAAGTACAAGCACAACTCCAAACTCTGCAGTTCTCTTGCCAAACCTGAGAGTTTCAGTTCTTGTGGTGGTGGTATGATGTTTTTAGCACATTCTCCTTCATGTTGGTCACTTTTAAGCATTAGACGTTATACCAAAGTTGGGGTAAGACAATTACACTCATTTTTTAAAAAGCTGATTCATTATATATGCTTTATGTTTTCATAAATGTTTCTCTGGAAAGGAATTAATATTCTTATGCATTTTAGATTAGATCCCCCTGTTGGTCAAATTGAGAAAGCCATGAGGTTTGTGGAGCTGTCATTTTAAAATACATAAGGCATTCTGCTCATCTTACATCATCACAGCTGAACCAGGGATTACGTTGCATTCTCTTGATTCTCCTGCAGCAAGCATTTCCTTTTCAAATAACAGCTTACCCCAGAGATTTGTGCTTCATCCACAGGAGGGGGAAATGGACCAAATAACCGGTCAATGCCTGTAAATCTTCAGTTGTTTTCAGTCCCGTTGCACCACGTGTATCAAACAAAAGGACCTATCCATGCATTCTGGCTTTATAAACATTTGAAAGCACTGAATGTAATTTCAGCATGGTCCTGCAATAAGATGCTACTGTTCCAAAATGTTCCTTCCGATATATTCCACCATCAGTTGTAACTGGTGTTTTTGCAAACTTAAGAAACCAGAGCAACTCAGCCACAAAGTCCAGACCATGTAAAGTTACTGAGCCGGGTCTCCAACTGCAGAGCTGCATAAAGCCACCAACACTCTGCTATTCAGTAAGTCGTGTTGCTCTGAAAAGAAGTCCATCACAGCGCATTTACATCAAAGTTATTATAGTTCAGTTTAGTTTCATTTGACTCAAAGTCATGTAGACATCCCACCTGTCCATCAAAGCCTCATCAGGTAAGCTGTGTGTGTAAATGTAGCTGAACCAATAAAGACTAAATTACAATTAATTATAGGGAACACAATATTGTTTATTTTTGTCAAAAGTATTGTTTTTCATTTCAGCAAACTGCGATGTTTTGCCACACCTACTTTTTACTGTAATAACTTATTTCAATCATGTGGGCGATCGTGGCTCAAGAGTTGGGAGTTCGCCTTGTAATCGGAAGGTTGCCGGTTCACAACGACAGTCTCGGTCGTTGTGTCCTTGGGCAAGACACTTCACCCGTTGCCTACTGGTGGTGGTCAGAGGGCCCGGTGGCGCCAGTGTCCGGCAGCCTCGCCTCTGTCAGTGCGCTCCAGGGTGGCTGTAGCTACAATGTAGCTTGCCATCACCAGTGTGTGAATGGGTGGATGACTGGTTGTGTAAAGCGCTATACAAATATAGACCATTTACCATTCATGTAGTAAATAATTGGCTACATGGAGAAAACAGTCGTGTTTCTTGCAGCAATGGTCTGTCAGCAGGAATTGGTGTTCAACATCCTGAGCAAGGCAAACTGTAGGAGACAGGAGTCTCTTTTAACACTAGACTTAGACTACATTAGAAGATGCTGCTGCGATGCTATGAATGCGGTGCGTCATGAACATTTTTTCAGAGAGACAGGGGAAAGGCTGACTCACACGACTACACGTGGACTTTGAAAATACCACCTGTATTCATCAGCATATAAGTGTGGAGACTTTAAATTTGTCGACGGTCGGTCTTTATATTCAAGCTCTTTATTTGCTCAAAGCATCAGTCATCACTCTAGTGACATCACTAATTTAAGATCCACTCGTAACACTTCTGATATCTGCGATTCTGATTTCAAGAAACATTCAGATCCACACAAAAGCCATGGATTCTATCTCTTCCTGAACAGTTTTATTTATTTCATATCTAACTGTAGATAACTTCTATTTTGAGACGAGTGTTTTCACATTCAAGTACATAATGCCTTACATCAACGCCCCATCTGAAAAGGTAGAGGCTTTACATAAGGCAAGAGGAGCAGAACCTGCAAGCGATATAGAAGTTAAACAGTTACAGAGTACAACCTGGATTTGGACATAGTTGAAACATATTGTAATCCATCCATTATGCTTACCCCGAAAGGGCTTATAGTATAATACCAAATGAATGTACTATACATTGATTTCCAGCCCGAAAAGAAAATTGTCCCACATATCCTTAGAAGAAGAAAGAAAAAGAACCATCAAGGTGATACGAAACTAAATAACCCACAAAAATCAAAATAATCCTTCAACCTTGACATATCGAGAATCGTCATGCATTTATGTATTATGACAGGAAAAATAAAACGTATGGATTGCAGGAACAAAATTTAAGGCTCATCCAAGTTTTTCCCCAACAAAGCAGCAACAATGTGTTCTTCCCCACATTGTTCAGAAGGACATTGTTTCCAGCTTTATTCAGTTAGCACAGAAAGTACCATCAATCTGATTGGTGGGGACAAGAAAAACAACCCCTTACAGTCCTGGTGCTACAACAGGCATTCATCCACGTTCCCATCTTTATCCCATATGTGCAAGAACTGTGCCGAGTCATTTGGTCCCTCTTCTAATGAAGAACACGAGTACCAACACATTCCATTAGAAGTCATTGTAATCAGTTTATAACAAAGTTACGTAAAAATGGCACAGTCAGAGAAAAGAAAGACATTGACAAGCACTACATTAACTCAAAGTGCCCGGCTGCAGGTCCTCATCTAACCTCCTGCTCAGATTCTTCAAAACAAACATGGACACGCTGCTTCTGTCGCATTAGCAGGAGGCCCTGCGTCGACCTACACGTATCCTCCTCCTGAAACGACTTGTGCTGTGACATCCAGAGAGAACGCAGTGGATAGAGAAGTACACAGAACTGTTCTGTAAGAGATAGAGTGCATGCATTTCTAAAATGCAAACCTTAGTCCCAGTTGATGCTCATACCCAGCGACACACCATATAAAAAAAACAAAAACCAAACTAAAATCCCTTTTTATGAGTGTTTCTATTTGTATATATAGTATATATAATTTACATTTTTGTGGTTCCTATTAAAAGTACCTCACGTCTTTCATATCATTATACATTTATGACCGGCTACTGTCTCAATCAATCACAACAACAAGACCTCATGGACAATAATTTCAGGTATACATTCAGGACTTTCTGTAAAAAGTCTTACAATATTCTTTACAATTCTTTAAAAATACAGAGAAGCAAAAATATTGGTGATACATCAGTCCACTGTCCTGCAGAGGCTGCTCAACCATAGCTCAGAGTCTTTCTTCTACACAGCTTAAGATTATTTTACACCTCCCCCTAAACGCTTCACTCTGTATGAATCTCTGTCTCGGGCCTCTGCATGGCCAGGCTAGTCTGGATAAAGGCCCCCTGACCGAGAGCTGTGGAGTAAGCTCTGTTGTTGTGGCTCACTGGAAATCCTGGGGCTGGGTAGGAGCTGGACGCTCCATGTTTTTGAACAGGGGCATGAGGCTGAGGTACTGGGTGGTAATCGTCCAAGTTGTCATAGTGGGACTGCACTGCTTTCGTGCTGTGTTTCTGACACGAGTAGTCTCTGTCGAGGTCTGCTTTGGCCTGGCTGTAGTGCTGCTCTCGGACGCTGTGCGATCGCTCGGGTTTGGAGCGGCCGATTTGTTCCCTGGGGGCTGATGACTGATCGTCTGTGCTGTGAAAGCCGCTTGATGTTTTCACTTTGCTCTGGTGGTGGTCAGAATCTGGACACTCGTAGCGCGCCTGAAAGTTCCTCTTGTGTTTCGACCTGCTGCCGTCATCTCCGGGCTCATACTTGGCCTCGTGCCGACCGCCCTCCTGCTGATGAGAGAGGCTGTGGCTCAGAGCAGAGGGGAGGGAGTGAGAGGACTGGCATTTCTTGGAGCTGCTTTGCTTGGAAAGTGCATCAGGCTTGTCACCCACTCCGCTGCCCTGGACATGCTTGTCAGTCTCCATATACATGAGGGCTTCAGGGTCCGACACCATTTGTCTGGGCAGGTAGCGGCCGTCTTTGCTCTCAGACGGTATCAGCACAGCTTTGCCCGGGTCAGATTTACTGCGCAGGTGCAGGGTTTCATAGCCTGATATATCTGCTGGTGTGAACAAGCCCACGTTGTCATACTGAGAGAGGACGGGGCCTTTAACCTTAAGCCTGGCCCTGCTCTCCCTGCGGATAGAATGCATACGCAACCTTTCGGACTCCTCTGGGTCCCAGGATAAGTAAGCAGCTACTTCTTTGCTCCCGTGCCCGGGGGGCATGTCCCTGCTCACAAAACTGTGCTCCTTCCCAGGAGGAAGAATGTGGCGAGTGAGGTAGTGATACCCAGTCGCCTTTCCACCAGGACGCCCAGGAAGTGTTCCTGCATCTCGGCCGCTGTAGGAGTGAAGGTGCCTGACTCTGATAGTGCCGTATGGGTCGATGTCGTAGAAAGGCGCCTCCAATGGGCCTGAACCAGAATATGGACTGTAGCGGTACTGGACTCGTCCGTTCTCAAAGTAAGGCTGCAGCTGGGTGACGTGGTAGTCTGCCTGCGAGGACTGCTGCGGGGGCTGCTGGTAGGCTTTGCACTGGTACACCGGTCGGTGGTAGAAGAACATGTCGTCATCTGGAGGAACTTCGGTCCTCTGGATGGGCACTGAGCGAATGCTGGAAGGAACATGGAGCGAGTGCACTCTGCGGATGGTGGGATAGCCATGGGTTCTGTCGTGACTGTAGCCCTGGTGCCCAGGCCCTGGGGCTAGGTAAACACTCCTGGGGTTTCCTCTGGACTTGATGGAGTGATGGTAGGACCTGGGGCCTAAAGTGCTGTATCTGTTATCTATTCGGGCACTGTAGGGTATCTGAGGCTCAGACTTTGACACATAGGTGTGTGGAGGGACACTGTCTGGTTGGTAGTGGTGTGGTATAGACTGCGAGCCCAGAGTTACAGACCTCTGGTGGTAGTATGCAGCTCCTGGAGGATCAATTAGGACCGGTTCTCCTTTAGCGTGGTACAGGTAGGCTGGCTGGTGCGTGGAAGATTTACGAGGAGAAAGAGGATGGTGAGGGAGAGCATCCTCCACATGGCCAGGCGGAGGACCTTCACCCAGGATATGGTAGGAGGTTTCACTCTGGCTGAGTGCTGCTGTGGCCAGTTTGCTCTCTATAGTGCGAACAGGAGGGGCAGGAGGAGTGGGTCCGTAGGAGTCGTGATATTTTCCAGACTCTGCACAGGGCTGCACTGGCTTTATGGCCTCCCAAGGTTTCTCCACAGGCTCAGCAGAGGTGGGTGCGACTCTTGCGCTAGCCTTTGAGAGATGAGGCTGGGCTTGGACTAATGTCTGGGAATGTGTGTGAGGCTGTGTCTGAGCTGGAGGTTGTATTTGGGCTTGGCTCTGCTGCGGAGTTTGGGTTTGGGGTGGTGGGACTGATTTTTTCAGCTTCTGAGCTGGCTGTTCTGGTGGTTTTGGAAGAACTGGGGGTGGTGCCTTCTCCTCTGGTTTGACCTGAGAAAAAAAGGCCAACACAGGATAAGT